TCTAGTCCAACTGCCTGACCAATTCAGGGTTTTTATGTCTGAGAAAGTATGAAAAGAATATACAGTGCCTTGTCCATCCCTTTGTATCTTGGCACACTCTTCAATTGATTCCCTCTAACTCGAGGTCCAGTTTTTCCAGACTTCCTTGTAGAGATGCACCAGCTAAGCTAAGATCATGGAAAGTATTTAGATGCCCGACTCTTGCTTAAGACTGAACTGCATTGATTTTGGCCAAAGTCCACGAGCTGGATAAGACTGAAATCAATACTGTTTAGGTATGGGGCTCAGAAAGACAGAGCCAAGCCTGCTGGCTCTGACCCACAGGCACTTGTGTGTGTCTTTCATTTTCAGCACGTGGGCAGCCCTGCCGCTGTTTCTAACCTTTTTGATGCTTAGGTCCAGATTACTATGCAGAGCATCAGCTACACACATACCAGTACCCTCAAATAGTGAGAAATAAGGAAGCAGTCCCCTGTGTAACTACTATGTCTTGAAAAGTAAATCTAGGCACAATCAATGTTTTATGTTTGATAATGTATTATTAGCAGAACTCCTCCTGCCTACGGTTCACAACAACTCTGGCATGAAGTGCCACTACCAGTCATGTTCATACTCTCTGTTTGCAAACAGTCCTGTAGCCTTAAAGATGCAGGCCAGTGCAGTAACATGTTGCTTGGTGCAATAATCATGGGCTTGAAACAAAGTTTAAAACCAGAAAAGGCCTCAATGCCTATGAGTAAAGGGTCAAGTCTAAGTTTTCCCAAGAGCCAACTGGTCTTCTGCCAGGTCTTCTGCTTCATCCACAGACTGGTTTCCCTTCAGCTGTGTTGGCACCTTTCTGGTTAGGTGATGCCATGACACTCTGCCAGGTTTATCTCATATTACAAAATCCTGAACACTGGGCTGGAAGAGATTGAAAGGTCTCTCTTGATTTTCAGGAAATATGCCTTATTTCAACATGGCTATAGGTTTGCTATTTCTCTTTTTAATCAGTACTGTGTTGCTAAGTCTGATATATTTATCAGTAGTTTCATAGTATTTGATGTCCTGTAAAACTAATCCCAGCTCTCATTGTCAAGTGATTAAACAAGAATCTCAGCCTTCACTTAAAAAACACGTTTCTATGCTCAGGCATTGTTGAGAAGTAATTGAAAAATATGGTTTGAAGCACATGAAAAATGTTGAAAAATATTGGAGATGCTTATATACTCTGCAAACGGAGAAATTGGAATATACGAAAAAAATAGAGTTCTCTTCCTACAGAAGTCCCATGGTTTTTAAGTTAATCTTGAGATTTAGGAGGAAGACCAATCAAGTCCACCTATTTGATTGTTTGGGGTTGATAGAATTGTCTCTGTTTTCCCCAATTACTTGTGCTGTTCTCTTACTCAAATCTCTCTTGAAGAGGAGTGGATCAAATGGAGGATATGGCTTTGGCTTAGCACTAGCCTTCTCTGACTTTCAGATTAAAAGAGACCCAAGAGGGAGTCAAGTGTTGGTATTTCTCTTCCCCAGCCAGCCCACCCCACTTTTCCTTCTTCACCTTTTTTATTTTGAGTTAGAAAAGCTCAAAAGGTTCTCCTTGTTTTTTGAATTTTGCTGCATTTTCCTTTGTGAATGCAAAGATCACCCTGGCCTAGTTTATCTAAAAAAATCACTGACAATGCTGACAGTATGCCATCTGCAGCCCTTGTAGCATGACTGGGGCAATGCTAAGCCTAAGCTAAAGGAGTGCTTTTCTCTCAGATGTTTGAATTCAATCCATACTGTTGTTGTTTGTTAAATAAATAAGACTTTATTTCCTGATGTTTTATTTATTAAAAAAATAAGGGTTTATTTAAAATGTTAGGCCTATATGGGACTCAGTAATAGATAGGCTCTGTGTTGGCTCTCAGATCAGGCGTGACTTTTAAGTCTGTATAATACAAGTGTAGGTGGGATGCTTCTGTGCCACGGAACACATGAGAATGAAGAAGTGCTGTGGGCTCCCCATACCTGGCATCTGTGCTTGGTTACACTTTGTCTGAATAGGCACAACTCTCTTTGTTTCCCTGCAGTGGCATCTGGTTTGTGTTAGCAGGTGTGAAAGGTGGTTCAGGTTCAGTAAGGTGTCCTAGGCAGGTTGAAAGGCTCTCTCTTCCAGAATGGCTTTAGCGAAGTCAAAGCAGTCTTGATTGGGTTTTGAAGCCAGTGAACTTTTGCAAGGCTGGCTCATCATTGCCTTGCTCTGTGCTGAGGAATTTGGGCTGGAACCTTATCAGTTTTGGAGCAATGTCGTCCCACACGTAAAGATTACCTAAACATTAGAAGTGGATGCTGCAACTTAAATAAAAACTTAGATAAAAACAGTGCAGTTCTTAGCTTTGCTAACTAGTTGTCCTAAGACTTCACAGGAACCATTCTTTCTCTGTCTTTTTGTGGTTTTTTTTGGTCCACATCCCATTTCTGCTTTCCCCCAAGATACATTCTGTTTCCCACCCACGCCTTTCCTCATCTAAGAATTACTTAACTTTCTGAAGAGGAGTCCTGTGAAATGTATCCTACACAGATGCGCTGCTAGGGTGGAGCTGGGAATAGAGCACCAGTGTAAGGAAATGACTGGGACAGGGATGAGGGAGAAAGGTGGCATATGGGACAATATGACACTGCAGCTCCAGTGGACAAGAGAGCAGAGCTGCTCCTTTTCGTGGTGCTCTGGATCTAAAACAGCTCAAGCTGACCTTGCACTGTCCCCTCAGAGGCCTCCGTGATCCCATGATGTGCACACAGAATTGAGAGCAGCCTGAGACTAGTAGCCTTGACTACTAGAGAGTAGTCAAGATAAAGTCATGTGGGAGATGGGTGTCCATCTAGAGCAGGTGTTCCCAGAGATGATCCTTCTATGACTAATTATAGTGCCTGGCCTTTTTCATCAACACCTTGGTGTAAGTACCTTCTCCTCTGGTGCTCTTCAGTTTAGAGCTCTCTTGGCTTCCTTTGCCTGTCTACCAGTGTCAGCTAACAAGCTTCTCCAGCTTCCCTAGGCTTCTTGATTTCTCTTTCCCACTCTTACTTACATGTCTCAGCAACTGGCTCTCACAGAAACTGCCTAATCACTATCATGGCCTCTGAGAATGACAGAGGGTTTCTTTGTATGCAAATTGATAAGCTAGTGTAAGTAAAATCAAGAAGGAACAAGGCTACAGCAATGCAAAACCTATTATTCTTTTATTGGACAAGTGTAGTTTTAATGCTCACACTTGAGAGTATGCTAGTAAATAGGTTAAAAATGCTTGGAATATGGAAACTGACTGGCTGACACCACTGTTTCCTATGGAGCTTTGCATCTCTAAATTGGTACATGGGGCCTTCATGGCCCTTGAGCCAGCACTGCCAAAGCCACTGCTAAGTTTACCATTGACTTCCTCAGCTAAGAAACTAAGCCCTAAATTCTGGTTTGTTCAAGAGTAAAAATCCTTCCTCAGATCTTCCTGGAAGAGATCAATAGTCTTTCTTGTTGAATTACAGCTGCACAAGTGCTGTGCAGTCTTGAAACATGGTCAGCTTATCCTTGATAGGGAATGAGATCTGCGAGTTGGAGGAACTCTGAGGCCACCTAAGTCATTAGCTTTATTTGTCTATTCTAAGCAAAGAATATATTACCAAGGGCAGATGGATGTTATACAGGCACCCATAGTGGAAACCCAATCCACCTGGAAAGTAGACTCCTGACAAGTGCAGTATACATATTTACTGAGAGTACAAATAGCCTGACCTACTCCTGGGTTTTCCCAGAGTAGAGCTCCTGGCTAGTTATGTCATTAAAGACTTTTAAGACAATACAAAAGAGACTCTCAGTAAAGCAGGGTCAGGCTTCTGTTTTTATTGATGGCTCTACTCTCATTTTAATCAGGTATTGACATCTTCCAGTGTTGTAAGTACCTGGAATTCCCCTGTGCAGGCAGACCTTTGTTGCAATGGAGTTATGCTGAGAGCTGTAACAGGTAACACCAGATGCAGTACGTCAGAGACCTCCTGATGCCGCTTTCAGCACACTTTTCAGCTACTAAATGCTGAGAAGCTGGGTAGGGCTCACTGGGTTGGTTCCAAGTACAAAGTAGAGACAGGACAATCTAGTGGATGTTGGAAAGCTTATAGTATGTTTCCACCTCATTCGGAGTGACAGTGCTGGGAAGCAATTTATATAAAGTTGCTATGTGAAAGAAAGTTGTATGTGTTCAAAATGGCTATATGTATATATAAAAAGGTAACTGCATATGCCGTAGACTTGTGTATCATAAATGTGTATGTCATAAGCAATTTTAGTTGGGGGATGCAGCTGCCAGTGCAGATTGAAGGAATCCTCCAAAATGGCTGTTGCAAGCACATGGGCTGGCAATTTATTTAATAGCTCCAGGGGGAAAGAATTATATCTTCAGCAGACAGCTGATGAGTCTTGGTACCTTTTGTGTGAGCTTAACTGCTCTTCTCCTGTAATCACTGATACTCATCCCACCCTGTCCATCCCCAAGCTTTCCAAGTTGTATACACTCAATCTTTTTAAACGTTTTGAAATGGGCAGTCATACTCTGTCATCCTGCAGACAATGAATTTCCACTGACGATCCCTGCATGGAAGAGAGACGAGAGAGATATTAGTGAGCCAAAACTGCAGATTATAAGACTATACAAGTAAGAATAACTTTACACCAGGTATTCTGGAAACAAAAACATCTGTCTGCCATTAGCTGACTTTTCTCTGAGTGCTTTGTGTTTTTATGGACTGGAAGGAGATTAAATATGTCTGATGGTTCACACTATTCTTTCACACTCCCATACAAAGTAAGATACTGAATAATTTCGGAGCATCCTTCAGAATACAATGACTGTTGATGGTGATCAGTCCTAAATTGACTGTAAACCAGTGACCAAGAAGAAAAGGATGGTTTTGTCAAAAGTTATTGTCATGTGATATATTGCTCGGGAATGTGTACGAAGTAAAATACATGGGTGATTTTCAAGCTATTTCTAAGTGGGCAGTTACCCACACAGAAAAATTAACTCTTTTTTTTTTTTTTTTCTCCACTACTAGGTCTTCTAGCTAGTGTTCTTGATGAAAGATGTGAAGAAATCAATAGTGAGAGAAATTAAATTCACTTCGCATCCTTGATCTCCACAAGTCACTTGTGAGGTAGAGCAACGTTTATAAGTGTAAGGAGAGTTTATGCTCTTCCCGATTTGTGAGTAATTGGATGCCTGTATTCTCTCTCAGGAGAGTGTTACGATACCTGCTAACAATTTTTAGTAGGAAGCATGGCTAAAGCAGCAGGATTCAACCATGGAGGCCAGTGATTTAGTGTCCAACAGCTGCAACAGCCTGCAGATTTCCACCTTAGTTTACAGTGCGTTTAATTTTCCCTTGACAAAAAGGCATGAGTTCAGAGGACCAAATACTGGCCTGCTGTGGAGGTAATGTTTAATTTAGGCTGCTTGGTACTGGCTAACAGGAGTTTAGATCTAAAGTACAGTCCTTGCAGATGGCAGCTGTCATTTAAATTGGTAATGGGTAGTACTCTGAGAGGTTTCTGAAAGTTTGGATTTTGTTGTTATCTCCTAAATCTGAGGCGTGGGGCAGGTAATGCTGCTGGAGTGGTTCAAGAGGAGCTTGCTTTACAAGACTCCTGCACAGTCCTGGTTTTCTGGTGGCCAGCTCCAAATGGTGAGGAAACTGGTGCAGAACCTGCTGCCTTTTAGGGATGTGCTGAGCCCAGGTTTTGGTATTAACTGCTTTTATGTGGTTTCATTGACTGGGTGACTCCCTGGAATAAGATTAATTTGACTCTTAAGGTCTGTGTAGGTAAAAAGCGTCTGATTTCAGCTTTTGTTAAGTGAGGTTTGTTAGTTGGGAATTTACTATGCTACTTCATCAGTTTATGCTATGTCATTTGGAACTGGGTCGGTCTCATACTCATCAGCAAGTCTGTGTTTAATTATACAGTGTATATTTTTGGTTTTCTTTAGGCCTTTCCTAGATGGTTTTTAATTGTAATTGCCCCATAAAACTGTTACAAAAGGTTAATCCAATGCAAGATTCATTTTTAGGTTTATTTTAGGAAGTCCTCATTTGGACTATGTGCATGCTCTTCAAAGACAGTATTACTCTTTTGGTCACTGAGCTACTCAGAGAGACCAAAAAAAAAAAAAAGATGACTCATATCTGGATTAACAGGATTATATGGTCAAAATTAAGGTCTGCTAAACTAGCACTCATTGTCAGAGAGACTTTTAGCTTGAAAGCTGAGGTCAAGCCATTTTTCTAAAAAGGGATATTGTAAAGTTAAGAGTCAAGTTCTTTAAAAGAAATGTGTTTTAGTTACCTGAATTAATAACATGCTTTAAAACATTAGAACAGAATTATTTCTGAAGTTGTAATATAAGCTTGAATTTGCAGACACTTTAGCACATGGTTGATGGCCAATCGGTTTATGCATTTAGTGTTTTAATTTTTTTTTTTTTTTGTATTACTTGTGTTTGCAGTTAAGCATATACATCCAGCTTTTCAGGATGCAGGGAATTACTTTGTACCATTGGTGCTGTGTGTTTAATTCAATACTTATCAGCCTGTTTCAGTTTGTAAATCCCTTACAAGTTTTCCAGTGGGGGTTCAGATCCCGTCAGGGATTTCCCTATGTGGAATACTCTCAAATATATATGAACTTGCCTTTGCAGATCCCTAACACCAGTACATAGTCCCCCCCCAATTGCTAATTTCATGCATTTTCCTTGTCTTGGGGAGTCAATATTGAATTGTCACTTTTACTGTCCAGATGTCATGTGCTGTCAGAGTTGAATTTTTGATGCTATAGGGAAAATATCTTTTATCTCAAATATTACCAAATAATCTGTTTCCAATTCAGTTAAAAAATTCTACAAAGTTTTATTCGTATTGAGTTTGACAAAATCCTCTTTCTTTGGTCATATGAAACTTATTAGGGACTTAAAATACCCTATAATTTAGCTCAGCTGAGCTTGGTAGATATCCAGCTTGTCCAGGCATTTCAAATGTACTTACTGCGGGGTTATCTGGGTGTTGATCTATCTTTCAGTGATGATGCCTGAGCAGTTAAGAAATTACTGTGATCAAATTATTGATCACCCAAATAAATGGAGCAGAGAACAGTTTTGTAAAAAAAATGAGCTTATGACAGTCTGCATGTGCTATTTTTATGTGATGCAGCGAAGGGCAAGCTGTGGCACCTACCAAACACCTCTGGTAATCCCCTCCTCCCTGACTAAGCTGCTCGCTGCAGGCTGGGCTGTGAATGCTCCAATGGTGCTCTCTGGACTCAAGAGACTGATCCAACTAGACCACAGGCCTATAACAAGGCTCCACGAGGGAACCATGTTATCATCACTTAGTATGTTTCAGAGCTCAGGCTGAAGCTATTTTGGAGATCTTTTGAGTTTGGTTGGTGTTTTTTTTTGTTTGGTTGGTTTTGGTTTTTTTTTTAATTTTGGAAGCTATTTTGCCAAAGGTTTACAATGTGCATGTCTTTGTGGGCAGTGTCAGTTGTTTACAGCCTGCTTCACATACCCTGTGTCCATCTCTGAAACTTGACTGTATCCATCTGTGTAACAAAAGATACTGTCTTTCCCTGCAAACGTTCCCTTACTTGTGTCCATAGGTCATCCTGTCTGCATCAGCATTACCACCATGCTCCGAAATGTGCTCCTAGACATACTTCAACCCTCTGCTGATTCTTTCCAGCTACTTTTGTCTTACTTTATGGACAATTGTTTTCTTCTTTTGACCCATTTAAAATGGGACTGAAAAATGTAAATATTAACCACTTCTAAAATCTGTTCTCCACAAATGAGCACTTAAAACCTCTGATGATGAACAGCAACTCCTTCATTCATTCCTGATACACAGGCATGGAATCCCACAGAGAGTGATTACAGAAGAGGAGGTGGGGATACCACCTTTCTAAACTTTCTACAGCTTTTGCCAGAGGCATCACGTGCTCTCTCAAATATCTGTGCATCAGCAGTGACCCCAGTGACGCAATGTCTTAGGGAGTAGGAAGGGAGGATATGATCTCTGCACGTTCATTTAAAAAGTCTAAAAGTACCTAACTGTTTGAAGTGATTAGGAAAGCTTAAACTAAAATACCTTCAGGGGCTTTTTTTGTGCTTCTCGTTAGCTCAGGAACATTGCCCATCACAGGCTAGATAGTATGGACACAAGTTTAATGTGCTTGAAAATGAAAAGTAGTCACAAAATCTACAACATGTTTACATAGACAAACTGCACATGTGCGTGCTGCTGGCAGTCTGGGACAGGGAATAGTTTTTGCTCCTATGCTGCCTCAACCAGCTGCAAAAAAACATTTAGGATGACAAACTTCACCAACTTTTGTGAGTTTACCACTCAGGAGAGTTACAGCATGAATCTGAATTACGAACTGGTGTAGCAGGAATTCTTTTTGGTTCTTACACGAGGCAACACAAGTTGGTTTTAGTAATTTGGGAAGCTGGGGCACAGAAAGTTCATTGGCACAGAAAAGTTTCCTAGATTGCAATTAATAAAATATTTTTTCTATGGTTTTCACCTGCTACTATTGCAGGTTCATCTGGGCTGTCACAGCAGTGGTAGGACAGAGGTGTTGGTGGCTTCTTCCCTTTCCAGGTGCTGTGGTCTCATAACATGTGAAGACCTGTACTCCCAGTGTACATCCCTGTGATGCTGCCTCCACTCCTGGCCAGTCCCCCCACTGCCACTCTGTTCTGAAGGCCATGTTAAGCCTTCAGCAGTCGCAGACAGAAATCTGCTGAGAGGCATTGGTTATCAACTGCTCTGTTTTCCAGGCTCGTCCTTGTGATTCCTGGCTTTGCTCTGTTCCACATCCGATGGAGGCTGGAATCCAGCTGCAAGGGAGTGCACTGCCTGCATTATCTCCCCTACTCTCTACCATGGCTGTGAGGAGCAAGGATTAAGAATAGCACTGGGGAATATTTAAGAGAAAAAACCCAGAACAGGGATGTCTCTTGCAACCTTGTAAATTCTTTATCCAAAGGGATAAATAGAAACCTTTGGGTCAATTAACTGTGAAAGTTATGCTTCCGCTTGTAGGAATAATTTGCAGACATGAATTCCATTTGTTAATTAAGAGGCTAGTGAATTTTAGCCAGAAAATTACAGTTACGGATCTGCAGCAGGCTGACAGCGTATCACTTCTGGAAAGTTCTTCTTATTTTAGGTAATCTTTTGGCTGAGGGGATCCCTATAGTGAAGACCACAAGCTGAAAGCATCGTAGTGACAAAAGCTCCTTTGAGTGTTATTAGAGACAGCTTGAAATGTCGGTGTGTTTAAAATTCCTCCTTCTCCTCTCCCCCTTTCTCCTGTAGCCATTCTTGGCAGTGATAGGCCAGTGCAGCACACCTTGCCTTGCTGTCTGTGCTGTGTTTGATAACAAATGCTTTAATATACTGGGCTGAGGTGTGTGATAAAAAATATCAGCAGAGAAATAACTCACAGTTGATGTAATAGAGGTCAGCTGGAGAGGAAAAATTCAAGATCCAGCTACAACTTCACTAGCCATAGGGCCTCATAGGCCCAGGTCAAGTAATGACCGGGACCGATCAAGAAGAAGTAGTGAACTCATTTTCTGGAAAAGGGTCAATGTGCAGTGCATTGCCTTCATTCGTGGTGTGGCCTCAAATCTGTTAGAATTGTGTTGCAATGGATTGGGCAGTTTACAGCATTCAGGTTGGAGTTTGTATGGTTGTATCTTTGCATGCTGGCAGATTCCCCACTTCTCTGCAAGGGAAAAGGCCAAAATAAGTCTCTCATCCTCTGAAAGGACAAGGTGTTCCCGGCTGAGTTTTTACTGGGTTAGATAAAAGGTGCTTTAACTAGAGGTGGGTAAGAAACAATACTGAAGATCTGTTAAGCTTTGTGGAGTTCAGATTTAGCCAAGCCTGCCATTGCTATATTTTTCACTACTCAGATAGACATGGCAGATGATCCCCTTGTGCCTGACGATGCCCTTTTCTTGATACACAACCCTGGACAATTAGCCACATGCACAGTGAGCTTTGGTCCTCAGAAGTACTAGCCTGATGCTGAGTACCACAGCAGATAATGTGTAGCCATGCACTGTTTGGGAGAAATAGAAAAGGAGAACCTTCTCCCCCCCGCCAATTTCTAGTGAAACAGATGAAAAGCAAACCTGTCCACAGCAGAGAAAGTTGTGGTTGCTCCACGTATGTAATGGTCATAAGTATACATCATCATGTCCATATCTTCTCCATAGTGTCCTGGATATTCTGTTGTTAACCTTTATATTAGGGAAAAAGTAGATAAAATAATTTACCATCTTACAGAAAAGTTCAGCTTACTGAATGCAACTCACATAGTAGATTTTTTTCCTGTTTCTTTGAAAGTTCCTGTTTTTTAGTAGCACCGCAAGATGCAATCTGACCTGTAAAATTGCATTTGCTTTCTATGCAACTAATTCATGTAGTTATCTGAATAAATTTCAGTAAGTTTAGAACTATCAAGAGCAACCTGGAGTATTATATGTATGTGCAACTGCAGCTCTGGGATAAAAGCAGCTGTCAAGAATGTAAACTGAACAAGAATGTAAAGCTTGTCTACTACTTATGTCTTTATTGCAGAGATTTACTCTGGCCTCTTGTCAGTCTGGTTTGCTGCTGTAGAGTGTAAAGTTCTGTAAATGTTGCCAAGTCAAATAGCTACAAGCATTTATCCATTTATGAATTATATTAAATGAATGCAGCAATTAATACATTCCTCTTTGTTCTTTCCATTTTCCGCCTAGTTTATAATGTGAAAATATTGGCCTGGACAATATTTGTGCAGTGTATTTTATCCAAGAAGCTCAAAGAGCTTCTGCACTTATTAATCAAATTATGGTTACTGCTTCCCTGGGAAATAGGCAAATAAAACTACTTGATTTTACAGACATTTTTCAGATAATGAGCAGATGCAGGAAGGAGCTGGGACCTTGATCAGTACTTTACATCAACATTATGTTAGAGGTCAGGAATGGAAACCTGGCCCTCAGTCTTTTTACAGTATTTATATTACTGTATTACACCATTTTATGTGGGAGTTGCTAGTGGAGTTGTGTCAGCTTCACTTCGAAGTGGCACAGGGAAGAATTAGGTTCCCTGTAAGGGAGGTGCTGTCCCCATGAAAATGAATGGCTCAAATCTTACTGAGACTAACAAGGTTGAGATGGCATTACAGAAATCCTGACAACCATTTCTCTGACTTAATTCAGCCCAGCAACAGTACTTGAATGATGCTTGAAGGTGATCCTAGCACATCCCAGCCAAGCACTCATGTGCATGTTTACATTTTGTTAAATTGGTGCAGTTTGAGCACAAGCTTAAATATTTTCATCACTAGGAACATAATTATTGGGATGGCTTTAAGTTTTTAAAGTTAGATTCTTTGAGGTTATTTGGAGCCCAAACCGTAACTGTTGGAATACTCAGAAACTGAAAGTTTTCCTGAAAACTGGGGGACTCTGGAATATTAGGCTGCTTTCACCTAGAGCTACTTACTAGAACAAAAATCCTCTGAAATTGCCACCATTCTCTGTATATTTTAAATGTATTTTGATCACTTAGTTTACCCATTCTTATGCTGTTTACATCTTCTTTGTAAAGCAGATGTGACTTAATTCTAGGTCATTTTCAGCTTTTGAAAATGAAAGAAAAATATCATTCAGTTGGAACATTGTTCCTAACAAATCATTATTCCTTGACAGATGAAAAATGGGACTGAGTGTGAAACTCAAGCATGGCCTTATAAGATCCCTAAAGTATCAACAGTCAACTTCTTTGAATGTGTCTTGTTCTTGTACCTTCTGTCCTTTGGCCATGGCAATCATCAAACAAATTACTAGTTGTAGCCTAAGAATCCCCTTGCCCAAGTGGTTTTGGGAGGCAGAAGATCAGGCCTGGTCACAGCATCCATTGTCAGAGCTCCAACCAAGGGCCTGTGGATTCACAGAGCCTTCACAGTGCTGTGCTGTTGATAAGAAATAAACAGCAGTATTTCACAGGTCATGGAGGTAGTTGCTGAAGGCTAGGAGAAGCAGAAGAAACAATGTACACTGGCAGTTGTTAGGATGGATAAATAGGTAGAGTCATCAATATACTCTGCAAGTGGGAAAATTAGAGCCACTTCAGTCTAGCCAATTAGGTCCAGCCCACATGAAATTCCAGAATGAGACCTCTATGGATTTTAAGGGAACTGGTTCTGATCCAGACAAAGAGAATAAATAGAAATATTACAAAAAGCTGTTTCTCATGGCTTCTTATCAGTTGGCTGGTGTTTTTTCCTAGACCAAAGATCATCACCTTGAATGTGTTTCTGTCAAACTATGGCAAACCTAATTTATCTGTCACTTTGATTGAAGGCTCATTATAATTTTTGCTTTCTGGACATCTCCCCTTGTGCTCCCAAATACATATTTATTTGTCAGTGTCAGACAGTTTACATCTCAGATTTTAATACTATTTTACCCAGACAATCTATGACTTGAATCTCTAATACACCTTTATGGCCCCATAAAGAACCTCAATCTGAGCATAAACTGGTTCTTCGGTATAGCCAACTTGCTGAAAGCCCTCCAGTTTGCAAAGAGGTGCTTTTGGGGCCCTGCACCCCATGCCCAGAACTGTAATGAGAGCTGGAGTATACTTCACAAAGCCTGACTTCTGCTACCTGGTCTGTATTTTATCCATTGTCTTTACACAGAAATCAGGCCCTGAGGAGGACTTTTTTGCATGCCTGAGTCTCCCATCAGTGAAGCCATGGATCTGAATCTGGGAACTTGAGAGTATTTCTGGATACATAACCAGAGGCCAAGAGAAACTGGGGCTACATCTGTGCTAGTAAATTAAACAACATCAGAGAATGTTTCTGGGCACTATAATTCTATTGCCTAGATGTGAAAATTATTAGAACAATCCCTAGGGCAGTTTTAGCCCTAGCACAGTCTCAGCAAATACCTCAAAAACACAGTTTGTGAGTTAGCACATGGTAGGTACCATTCGGAACAGGCACCGAATGGTGCGGGCACCCTGTTTTGGAGGGTAAGAAAGTTTAAGAGTGTTGCTGCTTCCTGTGATAGAGGAGAGTCCCCATATTTAGTTTACTAATTTGTAGCCTGAGTGTCTGATAGCACATCTTCAAAGATTCCTGGGTCACAGCAGGTTTTTAAAACATGTGGTGTGAAGACCAGCTATGGACCAGGATTTCATTTTTGCATTTCCCCATCAACTCCAGGGTTTGGGGCTTTTTTGGGCTATTAATACAAGAAAACACTAAGGCGTGTGTTTATATATGTTCCACCAAATGTGTTTCATAACATCTGTTTGGCATTCCACAAGGAAAATATTCTGTAATCTTGACCAGCACTATGTGCTGGGCAGAAGAGACTGTGCAAAACGCAAGGTTAAAAAGCTGCTTCCGCTCTACTCAGAGACAGATCTGAGCATCAGTTCTTTGAACGTGTTTCATGAGCCTTTCAGTTGAAAAGTAAATCTGATGACAAGCTCCTGAATTCCTGTGAAGGGTCTCACAGACCTTTCGCAGAAGCAGGCAGTGTTATTCTGAAGTGAATGGATGCAGAAGGGAGCCTTCATTTAGCTTCCCTCTCTTTTCTTTCTCCCTGCTGTCATCTCCTCCTCCCTCTACAAACTTCTTCACATTACCTTTCAGCCTCTTAAGGCTCCTCTGCTAAGAAATGTTCAAAAAGCAAATATATGCAATTACTGAAAGTAAAGGATACGGGGACTTGAGCTGCTCTGAAGTTTGTCTTGTTACATAGACAGATGCCTACTGACTCCTTTTGTTCTGGAGAGGAAATTTATAAATAGTGCTATGACAGCAATGTTCAAGTTCACTTGGATCTGTGTGGTCTGCCTGTCTAATTCAGTTCTCTTTGATGTTTGCTGTACTCATTTATGAAACTATTCCCGTAAGCCCATGCATCTCGAGGTCATCTGGATTGCGCTGTATCCTTTAGAAGGAAATGCAATTGGTTGTCCATACAGCAGGGCTCTGTGGTGTTACCCAGCCCTTCTGTATTATCCCCATTTTTGGAATCCTGGGGGTAAGTTTCACAAAATGTGTCTGTACTGAAGGATGCTCTAGTGTTTAATGTGTAGGGATATTCAGTACTTGTTTTTTTCATCACGGAGGGGAGAAAGGTCATTTAACGCAGCCATTAAGGCTCTTCTCAAAGTGGTCTGCCCCGCACAGGACAGTGGTTCCCTCAACATTTGTTGTAGCTTGGTGTGTAATCTTATTATCAAGTGCTTAACTGAAAATATTAAGTGTTTTACTCTATAATGCATATCAACTGTGTATCAACTGTGAACCACTTACCAGGGCCCTACAGACAGGTAATATATTACAAATGTGGCAGCATTTGTGAGCCATGTGTGGCAAAGGAGAGGAGTCATGAAACAAGTGAGAGACACTTTTTGCCCTAGTTGGTGAGAGTTTGCCTGCCCATGGGAGTCTGGATTCCCAAGGAGTACAAGCCCAAGGGCAAGACTCATTTGGGAAGAGCCATCCACAGTAACCTGCAAGAGGGCCCCATAAGCATTTCTGGCATTGACCTCTTAGCAAAGAAAACTGGGCTAGGGAAGGAGTGAGAAGCTTGGGAATTGCCAAGTGCTGAGACAAAGTTGCTGCTACCATTTGGGGCCTCTAGGACCAAGCTGTGGTCCTTGTGGTGCCTGAGAGGGTACATGAGGGAAAGCTCTAGAAGAGAGGCTTGCAAAGCATCTGTGAGAAGACCTGTGTTATACTGGTCATGGGACCTGGGCACTGAGTAATTTGGTGCCAAACAGACCCTGAGAAGGCAGAGAATCTGTGTAGGGGCTAGCTGGGTGCATTTAGTGGGATTGTTTACTAAACCCAGATATGCACATAGATGTTAAGTCTGGGGAAGGACTCACACATAGATGTTAAGTCTGGGGAAGGACTCACAGGGGAGAAAATAGTAACGTGAGACCTTTAGAAAGTGGTAGTCTTTTCAACCATTATAATCTATTTGTGAGAATTAATACAGAAAACAGATGAATTCTGCTTCAGCTTTGCAAATTCCCTTCAGGTTAGTATCAGGTGTATGATATTTGGACACAGGAGACTTGGAGCACTAGCGGCATTGTTGAGAGAGGAGAAAGCAAGTAATTCTACATTAAAGACTGTGGAAAAAAAACTTTTGAGAAGGGATGCAAATGGTTTGGCGTGTGTGTGGGAGAGCACATTACCAGCTATTTTAGCTGG